CCAGAATCCAGCAATGGCACAGAAATGTCAAACACTAGGCGCATTGTGTTCAAAGAAAGGCATCTTTAGTTTTTAGAATTTGGTTCCAGAAGCTCTGCAGGGCGATGAACAACATAATTTATTAAAAAGGAAGAAAATGTGATATATATAAAGGTACAGACATGAGGGGACATCTGGGACAAGAAAAATACAAAGTGATCCAGGGACTTCTTGTACCAGAAGCACTCATACACCAAGCTTAAAGGGCTTCCACAGGTCAAATATAGGACATTTTGAGCATCAACAAAAAGGTCCATAACTGTTAGCAAAAAAAAAAAAACCCAAAACAGACTAAATTAAAATCCATGAGTTTATAATGCTACTAAAACAAAGAGAGCAAGAAAAAGAAACAATTCATTTCCTATCATTAGAGGTGTTTATTATATATCCTTATTCAGAAAAATTACTGAAGGGAAAACTAAGAATTTACCTTAACTTTTGGGAAGAAATTATAATTTATTCCTGATTGATGAGGAAAATCTTATCAGAAGATTAAAGGCTAATCAATGTTAAAAAAAAAAGCAGAATTAGAAAATTACCATTTTGTAATAAACAAAGAAATAACCATCCACACAAGGATGGTCATCAGGTGAAAGGCTGCTGGAGAAGAAGTTTAACAAGCCACTCTACAGATTACTTGCAAATTACAAAAGGGAAAAACGTCTTTAAAGTGGAGAGATCTGATATTTATCATCTTGAACAAATGATCAAACAAACTCATCATCATTACATTATGACATTACGTTTCTCTTATTGTGATGCGACCTGGAATACAGAGCATAACCTATGAAGTATTTTTACCAAAAATGTTTAACCTGAGTCTAACCAAGCCTTTAGACTTCACTGCCAGTTTGTAGGAAATACAGGGATATGGAACAAATTAAATGAAACTGTGAGGAAACAGTTAGAAATTCCAGAAGTGGCATATTCTACAAGACAAATGGCCTGGTCTCTTCAAAAAGGCAATTATCATGTGGCTCCTAAATAAAGCGTTCTAGATTTAAAAAGAGACTAAAGAGACATGTTCGGAGGGGAAAAAAAAAACAAGCAAAACCAATTGCTAACAAGTGTTATCCTAGAGACAACTAGGAAAATCCGAACTGGATATTAGGGTTAGTAAAGTATTGTTAATTGCCTTAGCTATGATAATACATTGTAAGAATAATTAAGTAAAACAATGTCTTTATTTTAAGAAGATGCATCTACCTCATGGAAGATGCAACTAAAAGGAAATGTAAGTACACCTGGGCTAGAACATACCCAAATTAACTAAACTAAAATTAAAACAAAGAAGATGCATCTAAAATATTTAAAGTATTAAGGTGTCATGATGTCTACAACATAAACATACACTATATACAAACACACGTATAAAGCAAATATAGCAAAACAACTGTTGAATCTAGGGAATAACTGGTATAAAGGTGATAACTGCACTATTCTTTCAATTTTTCTGTATGTTTAAAATTTTTCACTTAAACAGTTCTAAGAAAATGGGGTGGGAGGGCTCAAAGGCACTTCCTCCAGGAAGGCCTCCCAAATGAACTCTCCTCTAACATTATTCATCTCTTTACAAAGTCCTCTCAGCATAGAACACAGTATATTACTGTTCTTATTCTGTTTACTATTTGTTCTCTTATTATTTCATATATTCAATAGACTTGGTTTTCCAACAAAATTGTAAGCTCCTTCCAGCACAGACATCTTTTAATTCTTTTCAACTTTCTCACAGCTCATAGTGAAGTATCCATTTTGCAACTAGCAGACTTTTTTTTTAAAGTACCAGTAGCAATATTCTGTGTAGGCACTCAGTAAGCACCTTAACTAATTGGATTAGCTTTTCAATTCCTCAACAGAATGGCAGTTCACTTGTATAAACAATTCTGAGTCACAGCTATCAAAAGGATATCATCAAACATCACTTATGGGCTTACAGAATTTCATATAGAGAAATTAGCATCAAGAGTTAAAGGAAGAAATTAGAAAATAGGTTTTACATGTCTTCCTAGCACTGCTAATGGATTTGCCGAGTTATCTAGGCATACGACTTTATTCTCATGATATTATTCTTCAGTACTACAATATCTTCCACCACCACCTTCATCTGAAAATCAGTGACAGTATTTATCCATAACCCCTGGGTGTAATGAAGCTTTATAAGCTACAAAATGAACTTTAAAATCTTAGATAAAAGAATGCACAAAGATTTTAAAAATCTGATAATACAATGTTGGTGAAGAAATAGGAAGACTCATACACTGCTGGCAAGAATATAAATTAGTACAACCTCCAAGGAAAGCAATTTAGCAATATCTAGCAACATTAAAAATGCATATATCAAAAAAAATGCATATCTCCTTCCACTAGGAATTTATCCAACAGACACCCATGTGCATAAAAAGTACAAAGAAGGAATTAATTGTAGCACTGGAAACAACCTAAATATCCAATAATAGGAGCTGGTTGAAAGATAGCACATCTATACAGTGGAATACCTGCCATCTTTCAAAAAGGGAGAGGTACTCTACATACTATAATGGAATGATAGCCAAGATATATTAAGTGACAAAAGCAAAGTGCAGAAAAACAAATATAGTATCTTACCATTTGTATAAACAACAAATAAAAACAAAAATACCAAAGCATATTGTATATGCTTGTTGAAGCACTACCTCTGGAAAGGTAAACAAGATACAGGTAACAATAGTTTCCTTTGAGGGAGGTAACTAGATGGACAAAAGGAGGACAGTATTAGAAAGATTTTTCCCTTTCTGTGTAACTTTTTAATTTTATTTCATATGTATGTACATGCGTTACCCAGAGTTATTTTTTAAACATGGCTCTACACCAACTCGAATTATTTAATGAATACTTATCTTAATCCCAAAAGCATCTCATGCCTTCATACCATAAAAATTTTAAATAAAACCAGTAAATTCAACCAGATGAAATGTTTCCAGATAAAAACAAAAGCATCTGAGATGACAGAAGCCTACTGAGAAGAGAAACGGACATTTATTACCTCCATAGCTTTACTTCAAGGTTTTATCAGAACCTGATGGGAGTGTGGATACAGGCAATATTAAACATCTCCAAGCACCAAAGCAACTACTCTGAAGACCTCTACAAGGAGAGGTCCCAAAGTACCAAATGGACATCAATCACTCCCACCCTAAGTGTCGGGTTGTCACAATAACTTATACTCAGTCTTCACACAGGGAAAAAAGAAAAAGATGAGTCTCCAGCTCTTTTCCAAGATACTTGAAGATATATGCCCTCCAAATTCCTGTGCTTCCTCTGTGTCATCTCTTGGCTCCAGCTGTAACCATGGCAACATAAAACAGCACAAAAGACAGCTGAACCATGCAAAGACCAGAGTTAAATGGGGAACTGAAAAATATATATACTTTAAGGCCTAAGAACATAAGGTCCTAGAGTTAAGAATGAGACCAAAAAAAAAAAAAAAAAAGCATTGAGAGAAGAATATCAAAGAAAGAATACAAAGGAAAGGGAAGAGAAAATAAGGCTTACTAATAATGTTTCCCATTCCTAATTATCCAGATAGGAGACAAGGCTGGCAAACGTAACTGAAAAACAGAAAATGTGCCTCTACCCCCAACAATTCAGCTATTCATTTCAATGCTATTCAGCAAACCTTTTGCTTGTAAGAGTTTATCATTTCTGCACCCTTTTCTGATGGCAGAAGCAGCAGCAAGTATCCAAGAGTGGCAACACAGGAGCAAACTGAGGGACCACATATAATCTGCCAACTGAAAACCCAGGTTGTAGATTAGTGAAATACCACTGTACCTTAAGTTCCTCTTTTAAAATTGCTCTTTGCAAATGTGAAACAAACATCACTCTTGTTACTTAAAATTAAAACTTCCACTGGGTAAGTTACTGTCCACCAATAGTTTCAGACTGCTTCTGTTTTCATCTGCTGAGCATCAATAATGTACAGCTAAAACAAAAGTGCTAAGGAAGTTCTTTTTACAAAAAAAAAAAGAGGCAAATAGGTCACAAAGTAGGAGGGCTGGAGATGAGAGAACCCTGATGTCTTAATTTACAGTTATTACTCTAAGTCTTATACTCTTTGCTCTTTATCTTTACCTTAGCTAGTCCTGTGACGATAATTAATAATTTTACTAATAGGAAACTCCCCTTACTTTCTTTTTTATGACCCCAGTTCTCTTTAGAAAGGCTACCAAAATCCCCTGCCAGAATAACTGAATGGGTTGGGGCACTTACTCCTATATATCAGGGAGGTTTGCATTAAAGATACAGCATGACGCTGGGAGTACTCGAGGGAAAAAAAGTAATGCTAGAACAAGAAGTTGCAGTGACACTTTCAAAAGAAGGGTCAGCATGGGGCATGTAAGCTCTGGGAAGCGTCTGTAGCCTAGGAGTCTCTAGGACAACATCAGATGCGAACAGTGCTTTGTCAACGCACTCAAAAACTTATATTCTCCCTTTGGGGAAGGAGAGCCAGGCTCACTACACGGCAGCAAGTCTAGCTTACTGCCTGGGAAGAAGGAGGGCGCGTGGTCAAGGGGCTCTTTATCCCGCAGGTCCCTGCAACATAGCGATGCGCATGCGCCCCGAGGGCAGCGAACAAGCACCCCTAGCGCGTTCACACTCGCGCATGCGCAGTCACCCATCTCGCCGCAGGCGACAGCTCACTATTTGGCAAGGGGGATGGGGCTGGGAAAATTATGGGGGTGCGGAAGGCAGGGGGCGCGTTTGTGTCTCCTGAATGCTTCGGATTAGGAGAAGGAACGGTTGATTAGGCTCTGGCATTCGCAGGCCACGTAACCCGGGATGTGGGAAATGGGGCAGAGAAGAGTATATGTGTGGCGCGGAGGGGAGGGGGGGAGGACTGGGGGGGTCAGTCACCTCTAAGGGAGACGCCCCCCCACTCCGACAGGACAACCCTCTCCCTCGACTCTCCTCCCCCCACTCACCTGAGAGCGGCGGCGACAGCTGCTGGTCCCCGTACCCCTGCGCTCGCCTCATACTGTCCGCAACATCCGGGACCTGCGGGACCGCCGATACACAAATACACACACACACACTCGGAGCGCGCACACTCACACATACACACACACACCGAAACACACCGGCCGGGGCGTCATGGCGTCAGCACGCCGACGCAGCCAGCGCGTACCCGTCGGGCTCCACCCCGCGCGGCCTCCGCCCCCCCTCTACTCCCCTCCCCTCCCTTCTCTGGTTTCTCCTGCCCCTCCTCCCTCTTCCTCAAGACTCCGCCTACCTTCCCTAATGCGCATGCGCCCCGGCGTCTAGCCTGGGCCCGGGGATTTGGGTGGAAGGAGGGGCCTGAGAGGAAAGAGGCGGGAACTCGGAGGGGGTCGCGTGTAGGGCGCGATAGGCTGCGTTGAGGTGCGAGGACCAAATAGAGGCACGCCAAGGGGGTGGGGGAGTCTTGGTGGGCGTAACAATAAAGGCATTTAACAACGGCAACTTAAATTTGCAAGCAGTATATGGATTACTAACAACTTTTACATACATTACCTTATTTTTCCTAACCCACTCTGTCAGTAAAATATCTTGCGATAATGTTAGAGACTCTTAAGAAACTTTTAAAATTTAACATTTGGAAACAAACAAGACAAGACGGACCATCCTGAGGGAAGGCGAGGATATGGGCGGCTTAACTGAAAGGAAGCTGATTCAGTGACAATTTGTTTTGGACACCTGGTTCCCAGTCAGCCTCACATCCTAGCTTCCAAGGGCTATCATTGGTTCCTGAGTTGAGTAAAAGAAAAATGTCTCAGAGCATCTTCGTCTTGGAAGAAAAAAGCCATCTCCACATAGGAGTAATAACATCAGTGATGGGATATTTGTTATTGCTACAATTCCTTCCTTTGGCTTAGACTTTAAAAAAAATTATTCTTACTGAACCAAGCAAAATAATCCCGAGCAGGCATTGTCTCTTTTCCACACTGAGTTTGTATCATTACGTAGACACGCACACGAATCCTAGAGGAGGCGTTGCATCCAAAAGGGCAACCAGATGAACCTGTGGATCATGGGGTGACAAAGTATGGACCCTGCCTTGGGGACAGCTACCGGAAGCTCTGCTTCTGTGGGACTGTCTCCAGGAGACAGTGCTCACTGTCTCCTGCCACATGCGTCCTGGCGCCAGGTGGCTGGTGAGTCTGTTCAGCAGGGAAGTCTGGAAGCCCATGAGCAAAGCAATAGGGGAGGCTGACAGTGTCAGGCTGCCTTCCACTTTCAAATACACATGCAGACCCTATAATCTCACAGCGTTAAATGTCCTAGGAATCACAGACAAAACACTCCAAACTCCTAAAGCTTATCCAGCCGGTATTTCAGCCAAAATGATCAAGAAATGGAGGTCCTAAACTCAACAGCGACGTGGCTCCTGTGCCTGCCCCACTTGAAACAAAAAGTGCTTTTGTCACCTATTGGGCTGATGCTTGAAACTTTCCAATTAGATTTCACTCATAATCATCAACAAACATTCATTCCTTTAGCTACAGCCAGCAAGGTTTTTGTCCTTGGGAAAATGCAGAGTGCCCCACAGGTAACCCAGTAACCAGTTACAAGTCACTGATTCTTAGTGTCACTGAGGCTGTTCAGTTCCCATTCTCTTGACTTCAGATTTCACAGGATAGCAGGGAAGAAAGAAAAGGGGTACCCTTAGGAGGAAGGAGCATGGAGGTGGGGAAGGGGAACAGAAGGAGGAAATTGGAGGCATGAACAACACACTTCAGGAACCTCACAATCGAGACTAATCATTACAGTTTAGTCAGATTCTGACTGTGACCTAGGAAGTGACTCCTTGGAGCTACTGAATCTGTGCCAGCGGCTCCTCCAGGCTGGCCCTGACTCTCCAGAGATCTGGAAGGATATAAGAGTTCTATCCCCATCTGTAGCCTGGTGTGATAGATAGCCTGGTCTACTGCAGGGACCATACCGCCCACCTGAGATGTGATCCCACCAGCCTCTGTACAAAGGACTTTGATTTGATGTGGATCTGATTAAATGACTGTAGATGTCCTTGGAAGCACTGTGTGGAAGAATTTTAAACAGCTTCTCCTTTTTAATATGCACTTCCTCTTTGGTTTTAATTATTTTGTTCCTACATTTTCCCTTTCAATTTACTAAAATCTAGAAATGTAATTAGAGCAGAGGCTAGGCTCAGAGAAAGCTGCCAGGATTTCTACAGCATGATTAAATATACTAGGCATCCCTTTAGTGTGGGCCTGAAAAATAGGATTCTCATTATTATCCTTCCCTTATCCAGGAAAGAATCAGCACCATGTACAGATATGGATTTATTGAAAATGCAGCACTAATTAAAAACTCACCCAGCCTCTTGACGAGGTTTGGGGGGAAAAATGCAGTTATTTAATTATTTCCTCCATTTACTGCTTTGTTGTTTTAATCACAATAAGCAAGAAGCCCCCCTCATTCTTCTGTCCTCAAAATAAAATTCTTCCCTCCCCTCATGAGAGAATTAATGAGGCTTTTATCTATGCAACAACAGTCAAGCTTACAATGGCACCAATTCAATTCACTGCTCTTTGTGATGGTAGGAAACGTGCAGAACTCGTTTTCTTAATCCAAAACACAAATGACAAAGTGTTCATTGGCCATCATGAGCCAGGTCTGGGCAAGGAATCTGTCCCAAAAGGCCCCTGGACGTCTGGTATTTATTCTGCCAACGAGGCTCTTCAGCTCCATGTTATAGTCCAATGGGCAAAGGCATAGTTTCCCTTGAAAGAGTAGGGGAGGTAGAGGCAGGCAGGAATAAACAGATGATGGATATATGGATGGGAGATGGATATGCAAGAAGGAAGATCCTTAGTAGGGGCACAGTCCTGTCTAGAGGAACAGGGAGAGATGACACAGCCTGGGACACAGGTGTAAGACCATACACAAGGAAGCATATCAACAAGAGCATGCTGCTCAGGTTAGATTTCATAGTGAAGCAGCTGTGGCTTAATGAATGAGCTCCAGCCTCCTTGTCTGGAGACTCAAGTTCAAACCCAGCACTAACACTTAACTACAGTATAAACGTGGACCAACCGCACCCAGCCTCAGTTTTTCCATACAAGCAATGGAGAAAATACTGCCCACCAAAGCATATTATTGTGAGGATTAATTGAAATAGTATTTGAACATAGCACAGTCCCTCTACATAGAGGAGAGTAGACTCCACTTATTTGTGGATGTGTTTCTGAACTTGGATTTGGGGGTAAGTGTTCATATTCCTGCTGCTCTTCAAGCCCTGCTCTAATCTGTGTGCCATCCTTGCTCCTTTGCTCTATGCCTTTCTTTAGAATTTTTCAAGAAGCATGGAATCAAGGCAACAGCACAGATTTCTCAGCCAGAAGACTGAAACTTGCTAGCCAGAGTCCCTGAACAAGCTCTCTGATCTCAGAGTCTGTTTCCCCACAGATCGGTCAGGTTTCTGTTTGCAAGAACTGCCCCAAAGCTAGCTATATCAGCCCAAACTGGAATTTACTGAAGAAATATTTCTGGTTCCTAGAATTGACAGGAGTTGAAGAATCAGACTTGGAAATTCAGCAGAAACCAAGAGCTAATGAAGGAAGAATGACAATCTTCTTTAGCAGGACCTTCTGGCTGGAAAACCTAATTGCTGGGCACCGCTTTGAAGTACTACCAGTAGACGCATGGTCCCTGCTGCTGCCAATGCAAAGGACATCTAACCTTCCACCCATCTTTGTGCTTCATGCTGCAAACCCAAAGTCCAAGCAGCAGCACCCTGGTGACCAATCCTAGACCACATCCTGGACCCTGACCATCATGGGAGGCAGGGGTGGTGTAAAGGGCAGGGGCAATGAAGAAAGGTCTCACTGCCATGGTGTCCACCATGTGACGGTCGGCACTTTTCTCACTGGCACTATCTGCAGCAGAATACTCATCCCAATCAGGAAGCAGATCAGATGCTGGATGGCAAACACTTCCACTGTGAAAAGGGGCATTCACCATAGAGTAATAAGCAGCATTTAATGACATATTTGTTCAAAAGTGCTTGGCATACAAGACATGGATGCAACCTAAATGTCCATTGACAAATGAATTTATATATATATATATATACACATATATATATATATATATATATATATATTATAATGGAATATTACTCGGCCATAAAAAAGAATGAAATAATGCCATTTGCAGCATTACGAATGGACCTAGAGATTACTATCAAGTGAAGTAAGTCATAGAGAGAGAGACAAATATATGATATCACTTACATGTGGAACCTAAAAAGAAATGATACAAATGAACTTATTTACAAACCGCAATAGACTCACAGACATAGAAAACAAACTATGGTTACCAAAGGGGAAGGAGATGAGGGGGAGGGATAAATTAGGAGTCTGGGATTAACGTATACACACTACTATATATAAAATAGATAAACAACAAAGACCTACTGAATTTGACACAACATTATAAAATGAATATAACTCAATTAAAAAAGTTAAAAAAAACAACAAAGACTTACTGTATAGCACTATATATATATATACTGAATATACTATATTCAGTTTCTTGAATCTGAAAAAAAGTATTTATATGTATAACCGAATTGCTTTGCTGATACCTGAAACTAACATTGTAAATCAACTGAAACTAACATTGTAAATCAACTACACTTCAATAAAAAAATTTTTTTTAAATAAAAAATAAGGATTCAAGTTATTAAAATGCCACAGAGAATTTTTTAAAAGATAAACAATAAGCCCTACTGTTTAACACAGGGAACTATATATATCTTGTAATAACCTATAATGGAAAATAATCTAAAAAAGAACATATATATATATGTATAGCTGAATCATTTTGCTGTACAACTGAAACTAACACAACATTGTAAATCAACTATACTTTGATACAAATACATAAATTTTTAAAGTGCATATGAAAGACATTCTGTTACTTCACTTCCCTCTTTTATAAAACAAACGGCTTGGAATGGTGTACATATCTGAGGATTTGATCAATGTGCTTATAGATCTTGAAATTCTGAGTTTTTCACCTGGAGAAATGGCTGGGAAAGATGATATTTGACGAGTGGAGTACCAGACAGAAGAGAAGCATAGGAAAGAGGGAAAGGAAAAACAACAAATTTGAGTCCAGCTTGT